GATGCCAGTTAAATTTTTATTAAATCAACATTACATTATTTGGCCATTAATATGCAAAAAGGAGCATATTGCGTTAACTTAAATTTTCTTTTACTTCTCCTGACAATGTTCTCTATATTCTCTATTTTGAGTTAGTAAACTTTTGAACGGGATGTGCGATATATAAAATACATAATATATCCAAGGGCATGATCTGATAAAAGTATTTTTTGATGCATTTTTTGGTTGTTTATGCACATTGGCTTGGTTTATGTTTTATTCAGCTTATATTTATTTGGTATAACAGTTTTTTTTGCCTTTGGAATGGCATGCATTGAGGCTAGATAGTGTTTCATTAGACCATTAAAGAAATTTAAATTAGCATATATTTTTTGTGATGTTAGTGTGTTATCATGATACAGGTAGTTGTATCATAGTGCCTTATGCATGTTATTTACCTATTATATACTTATGTATTATCAGTAAATAGATGATAATATACTACTAAAATGTCTTTTAATAGTATGTTTATCTGTCCAATTCACTAGTTATTTGCAAAATGTATTTTGAACTAATTTAAGTCATTAATTGATCATCTTTCTTTTTCAGGTTCCGGGATATTCTTTTTCATTGTTAAAAAATATATATATTTCAATATTATTGTAATATAAATCGCAGCTCTAAAAAATAAATGATATTGTTTACTAATGTGTAATTTATTTACTATGAATTTTCTCTGAAAATAATAAGCCTTTAATAATATCATTGATTTGCTGTGTAAAGTAAATAGACATATTTTTTAATACATTAAATTATATTAAAGTAATAAAAAAAATGTTTATTAACTTTAAACAGTAAGTCAGTGATACTTATAAAAATATTTTTTAAAAAATTTCCCCTCTTTTAAGCCCCGCCCCTCAATTTAGCTAGTACTGCCAGGCGACACCAGGTGGCGTCTGTTTCCATTTTTTAACATGAAGTTAGCATTTCTTTAATGTACCTATTCTCTGACGCAATGTAATAACTATTTAATTGCAAACGTAAAAACAATTCATTTTAGGGAGCCGATCGGCCGACTATTTGATTACATGTGAGCACGGCTCAATAAGAATAGATTGGTTTAAAATCTGCAACCAAATATTCGGTCAACTATAAATTGACCGGCAGCGCATAATCTAAGCCTTACATAATGCAATAAAATAGTCGACTGATCGGCTCCATATGAATGTATAATATTGCAACTTGAAACTAAAAAATAATTAAAATCGAACTTGCAACTAAATAGTCGACCGACTAAAAATTGCATGTCAACGCGTAGGCTTATTGTTTCGAATTTAATTTTACAGTATACAAATTATAGAGGAAGGAGTATCCAAAAGAGGAAGACATAAAGATGCACACTTCATTTAGAAATATGTAATTACAACTACTTTTTTTCAAATAGGTATCCTGTAATTATTTGTGAGTCGTGTATTTAAATATCTACTCGAACCTAAACTAAATGTTATCCTTGTTTTTAATTTATTTGCTAGCTGCTCGCTTTGCTATCAAATTATAGTTTCTGACTTTTAGTGTCATCGGTTACTAAAAAAAATTAAGTTTTTATCTAATCTACTCACTGAAAAGCACACACCTAAACCTAAAGGCATTATGCTAGATCTCGCCGCATTTTTCTTCTTAATAACTTTTTGTGCTTCATTTTGGATACTAAATAAAGGCATTTATTATTATTATTATTATACAGGACGGGTCGCGCCTAAAAATGTTTTAACATGAAGCAATGTTTCATCGATCGACGCCAATCAGTCACACTGTGACTAAATAAGCCTAAACCTGTATTAAACCTTAGGACTAATCAGTGTGTGTCAGCCCATTTAATTTGCATTGAAGCATCACATGAAAACAGTTTTACTCAAAAACATTTTTGACACAAACTGGTTTTCTCTTTCTGTGTTCGTCCAGCTTATAAAAAAATACTTTTTTATTTTGAGATTTTAAAGACCTCTGCGTGAAATCCAAATGGAAACCAGCTTGTCAGTGCATTTATACTAGTAAATCAAATTTGCCCAACCGACAAAAAATTCTTAACGTATCGGAAGATATATCTCCTCCCGTCGCGCGTCGTGTCGTCAGAATTCGTGGTGTTTACAAAAAATGTGTAGACTTTTTCCATAAATAGAACCCACCACAAATGTATAGATATTATTTATTTTATTGTTTATTATTGTAGTTGGTCTACAGCATGTTCCCGGATTGTCTTTACAAGAGGAAAAACTGGTATACTATTGACTTTTTCAGTCCTAAAAATTAAAACACGTTTCTATGGTAATATAATTTTATTTTCATTATTGGATACAGTTTTGTGAATAGAATTTTAATTAACGTCATATTTTTTGCTATTTTAGAATGTTAAAGAGACACAGAATTTATTTAGTTCAATGCTACGGAAAGGGGGATAATAGTTATCGGAAATTGTAATACTTTGACAACAGCAAAAATATGACGTTAATCAAAATTAATAATAACCATTTATCACAGAATGACATCGAAATTATATTACCAATATCGAATATATTGCCGAATATTGCAAACATTTTTAGGTCTTTTTTAGTCTTCTCTAAAACGGTATGGACATTTGGAAAAGTATAAACGGGATTAATCATTTTAGAAGAAGCAAGATTTTTAATGAAGAATGCATTTTTTTGCAGAAAATATTTTCCCCTTGCAGAAAAGATTTTCCTCTTACATAAAAGATTTTCCTTTTGCAGAAAAGATTATTTTGAATATATTCCAAGATAATTTAAGTAAAACTGCATATATAAAATTTAATAGCTAGTGCTGTTCTTGTTATAATATCTGGTAATTAAGATAATATGACCCAGGCGGCTACATATAAAATTATCTAATTAGTACTATTGTGTTTGATCAAATTATATTCATTTGGGATTTTGCTACGGCTTTTCTTGTAGGTATTTGTAATAGACTAAAATATAAACCTAATATTAAAATGATAATATTGAATTATAAAAACGGGTTTTCATAAATTAACAAATTATGAAAACTAAAATATTTTAATCTAAACATGCCATGAATATAAACAACGTATGTCTGACTATTAGTTATTCGAATGGCCAATAACAAACAGTGAATAACAGATCGATGTATTATAGAATAATGCAAATTAGTACATGTGCGATTTTATGATGAAAATAACAATACGCTAAAATATTAATCTTATCTACTAGTCACATTAGTCCTGACTAGTAATAAACTACTCAAAACAATTATAGCATATTGTCAAAAAATATATTAATTTGAAAAAGACGACCTTCAATTATCTGAATTACGTTTTTCGATAGTTTGGATAATGCAAAAGGAAACTCGAAATTATAAGACTACGCACTTACATTTAAAAGTTCGATTTAAAATGACATCGAAATTATATTACCAATATCGAATATATTGCCGAATATTGCAAACATTTTTAGGTCTTTTTTAGTCTTCTCTAAAACGGTATGGACATTTGGAAAAGTATAAACGGGATTAACCATTTTAGAAGAAGCAAGATTTTTAATGAAGAATGCATTTTTTTGCAGAAAAGATTTTCCCCTTGCAGAAAAGATTTTCCTCTTACATAAAAGATTTTCCTTTTGCTGAAAAGATTTTCCTCTTGTAAGGACAATCAGGGGACGTACTGTAGACAGATTTCAAAAATTTAGTAAAAAGTAATAAATAATTAGTTTCACTTTAGTTATTCTTCTCTCTTTTTTGTTGTTTTATTTTATTTTAATATTAACAATACCCTAAACGAATTACTAAAAAGTTTACAATCATATTAGAGACAATCTTAGAAACAAGTATTTATATCAAAAATGCCCTGAGTAAAAATGAAAATCCAAACTTGAAATTTTCACTTATTTATTAGATTATATTATATTGTTAAAAATGGATAGGAGTATTTTCATTATTTTATACCAGGTGATGGCATCGTCGCCGTCGTTGGAAACTCAAAATCGCAAGCAAATTTTGAACTGTCCAGGTATTGGCTCTCCTGTTAATTATACAGCGAAATCGTAAATAGGGTTTTTTATGGTCTGCGTATGCTAAATACACTTACCAGATTTAAACAATTTTGGACAAGTCGATTTTAAGTAAGTTAAAAAGAACTGCGTCTATTTTTAAATTAAAACTGAATAGATAACAATGCAAAACCGGGCAAATGTTAATGTACCTTAAATTGTCCTATAATTTTATTAATGTCAAATTGTATTTTCTAAATGTTAGACTTTGGCCTCAGTTTTAAATTGCAAAAATGCATTTCGGGGACACTAACCGAAAATCCTATAACGTAAAAGTGTACACAACACAACAAATTACATTTTACAATGATAAATTTTTTATAGGTTAACAACTTAAGGTATGTTGAATTTTGACTGGTTTTCCTTAAATTACTTAAAATCGGCTTGTCCAAAAATGTTGAAATTTGATATGTGTATTCAGCATACGCAGATTTTTACAAAACCTATTTACGACTTGGCTGTGAAACTAATAGGGGAGCCAATATTTGGACAGTTCAAAATTTGCATGGAACTTCCTGTTTCCAACGACGATGCACCACCCGGTATTTTACTCAGCCGTCCAGTTTATGGTCGTACTATTCAATGTTAAAAAGTACAATACTGGTCAATGAAATCTAACCGTTTAAATTTCCGTAGTAGCATAGTAACATCTAAACTTTGTAGATATAGCAAGCTCATAGCTTTCTTGAAGCAGTCATGTAGCGGTTACAAACCGAAAAAGTCAAAAATTTTAAACCCAGAAGATGTCGTGAAATGTTTTTGCACTTCTTTTTTTGCATTTAATCTACCCTTGCCGTTAAAGTACTATTTTATCTACTATTTTTGGTAGATAAAAGGCAATTTTAACAGTTGCTATAGAAAAAAAATAATTTTATGTAGTAACGCATTTGACGATTTATCATTATTAATTATATTTATATCTCTCATATATCTTGTACTCACAAATTTATAAGTCCAAAACCTCTAAACTTGTCTATACTTCACACCAACTTTCTTTCAAAACTTTCCAATAAAACCGACCACTCGAACGCGAACGAAAAAAACTTCCGCGAAACTTCCACGATCGAGATCGAATTGCGCGCCACCGAACGTAGCCGAGACCCGAACTCGCATCTGGACCCGAAATCGGAAGGGAGAAGTTCCAATCCGGACGTCGCGACGCTACTGGTGCACAGAGACGCCCGACGGGATGTTAAATTATTGCGCTTGCTCAGGCCGACTTTCGCGGATGGACGGGCGGCGGAGACTTTTTTCTGGGTCTAAAATGTGGCGGAAAGATTAAAGGATATCGGAAGTATTTCGGAACGAAATTACTAATATGTGCGGTGATTCCGTGATAAGGCAACAATGTATGTGTTACAGTGAAAGTCGGGAATTCAGTGATTGTTTACATTCACTTAAAGAAAATGCTAGCAATTACGCATTGGACTTCAATTTTTCCAAATGGAACAAAGCTGGCTTATTACCATATTTGGAAGAAGCATTTTTTAACGAATATACCACACACTTTTGTCAAGTGGTACCACACACTTTTGTCAAGTCAAATTATGATTATAAACCGCATGTTACAATTTCAAATAAACCATATACAAAAATGTCAAAAGTGGACATACGATATGACATTCTAATAAGAGTGTCATTATTTATCGAATAAAGTAAAAAATACCGAGGGTGCAATTTAAAAATCAAAAGTTGTAATCATTTCCGGAGAAACAGGAAGTGACCGAAAACAATTGAATACGTCAATCAATCCTAAAACCAGGGTTTTAGTAAATGTAAAAAAAAGAACCAAAACTTCAAAAATTTACAGGGTAAGTCTAAAATAAGTGCAAATATTTTCAGAACTGGCATATCTCGATAAAAGAAACATATTTTCTCTTGACCATTTTTCATTTTCAAATAAGTCCAAAATAACCGAATTATTTAAGTTTAAAAATTAAAAAAAAAAATGATTTTTTTTGGAAAAATTTTGAGAGCCAGCGGCTTTTTTCTGTATTTGCATTCCTTTGCATTCCTTTTAGTGCCGTAACCATAGAGTTTAAGCTGTAACTATGGTAATATCAGAGATTAAGAAATTATACCGTGGGAAAATTTGCGGTGAACAGGCAGTTCTAAAAAGTTTTCGAAAAATACAAAGGAAAATTTAAAAGAAAATGCACGATTTTCAAAATCTTTTTTTGCGAAAAAAAACTCATAGACATGTTCCTGGGTTTGAAAAATACCACCCCTGAAAATATTTGCACTTATTTAAGACTCCCCTGTATATACAATATATATGCTACTGTAAATGTCCGAAATGCGGTAAAACCTAGGATAAGCGCGCTAAACCTAGGATTTACCAAAAGCATTAACTATTTAGGTTAGCCTAGTTATTTGGAGGGTGTTAATGCATTGGTTAGCCTCATAGGTTGTTAGCCTGGTTATTTGGAGGGTGTTAATGCATTTGTTATTTGGTTATTTGGTGGGGTTGGTTAGTTTTTACTACCACTTGCTTTTGTTAAATCCTAGGTTTTACCGCATTTCAAACATTTACAGTAACATATATACCGGGTGCATCTCAAAAGTGGCTCACCCCTATAACTTTCTTATTTTTTCAGATAAAACAACGAGATTTGGTATGTTAGTATATGCTATTAATTAGCATTGATTGACATACTCAATTATTTTCGGTCACTTCACTTCCTAAAACTACCGAAATGACTACAACTTTTGGTTTTTAAATAGCGCCCTTGGTATATGTTTACATTATTGGATAGAAACTGACATCTGACATCTAAATAGAATGGCATATCATATGTCAACTTTTGACATTTTTGCATATAGTTTATTTGAAATTGTAACACGTGGTTCATCACAACAATTTGACTCGAAATACCAAGTATGTGGTATAAAATTATTCGTAAAAAAGTGTTTTTTCTAAATATACTAATAAGACACCCTCGCTCCATTTGAAAAAAATGAGATATGAATAAAAATACAATTTGAGCATCTCTTAACCGCCCAGGACAAGACACTAAAAACATTAGAGAATCAAATATATTTTTCCAAGGTTTCTTGATTAAAAATTAGTATTTTTTAACACAGCCATGGCACTCTAGATTGAAATTTAAAATACGATTTGTTTTTGAGCGAATATACCAACTTGGTATTTCGAGTCTAAATTTCGTTACGAACCGCAAGTTATAATTTTAAATAACCCATTTGGAAAATGTTAAAAGTTGACATATATATGATATGTCATTCTATTCAGAGTGTTATTTTCTATCGAATAAAGTAAAAAAATACCGTGGGTGCCATTTAAAAATCAAAAGTTATAGTAATTTCCGGTGAAACAGGAAGTGACCGAAAACAATTATATATGTCAATCAATCCTAATTTATGTCATATACTAACATACCAAATCTCGTTTTATCTGAAAAAATAAAAAAGTTATAGGGTTGAGACACTTTTGAGATGCACCCGGTATAGACTATACTAGAAATAGTACTATAAAATTATTCTTTTTCCTACAATCTTCGATCTAGAGATATAATAAAATAATCTAATAGTTTTCACATCAATTACTGTTTCTTCTGTTCAGTAAATAGTACCGTCACAGAATAGAGATAGTATGCGCGCGCGTAATACCATTTTAACACTTATAGAATTTAAAGAGAATACCCAGGAGGAAACTTGTAAAGCGCAAAAACAGCTTTAAAAATAGAAAACTAAATTTGTACATGTAAACGGACTTTATACATTTGCTACTTAATATTCTACATATCAGACATTTTCTACTCACTTTTCTCCATACACATACACGTAAATAAAATATTTTCTACATGTGGTTACCCAACCCTCAAAGTAGCTTTAAAAAAATAATCCTATTTTAGCTTGAAAAGGATCCGTGATATTCGAAAATGCACAATTTAATAGAGACAGAGCAAGTATAAATTAGAGTTATACAATATTCTATATTATATATACCAGTATTGCCCATTTGGTATTGTAGCTTAATATTTTATAGCTTAAAATAAAACGTCGATTATTTCCATTCTACAGACAGTACATCTGTATTGAGGGAATACAAATACATGTTACAAACAGAAAGAATAATACTTTTTTAATTAAACACAGTGAAAACATTTAAAACGGGCGAGAAACAAAAGCTCTGTGTTGAAAAACTGAAAGTCAGGACGTGCTGACAGACTGAAAGAGTTTTAAATTAAAAAAAAATGTTAAATGTTTCAACTCACATCGATAATAATTATTATTTGAAAAATTGTAATTTTTAATTTTTTAAAAGCGCAAAACGTGTTAAAAATATATTCTGTCTACTAAAAAAATGTTGTAATTTATCAATATATCCAAATAAAAACATTTTTTAAGTAAAAAATTATATGTAAAATGCAATTAAATATAATCTTTCTTTAGCTATATTATATTAACACAAAGTTATCTAAATTATAGGAATTGTTCTAATATATAGGAATTGTTAAGGAATCATAGAATATTTCTGGATATATTTCGTGAAACATTCGGCAAAGGATTTCTCGAAATACTTTCAGAAGTAAACTCAATGCTTTTCTTATGTTGCGGCTTGTCTGGACCGCAAACTCCGAAACAGATAGAAATCGACCGAGACGGTTGAAGCCGTGATTGGTTGGTATTGTCTCGAGAAATGTTTCGAGAAACGTTAAGATCAATTTCGACAAAAAACTTATAACACGCGTCTACAGGATTGTTCACCACATACGACACGGAGTATTATAGCTAAACTCTTAGATTTTTGCAAATTATAAGTTTTAGGTTCGTTGAAGGACTATTAGAGCTACAATTTAAAAATATTTTTACAAGATACAGAGTGGCCCAAATAAATAAAAAATATCAAAGTTGTATTTTTTTAAATGGAACTCCCTGTATATTATTACATTTTTAGTTTCTCCGATTAAAATAAAGGTAAATTTGATTAAGGCTTACTGCATTTTAATATTAACGTTTTTGAAATATTTAGGTTTTTGTCAAAATACAGTAATAATTTTAATGCTTTATTTCTCCAGGCGTAGTTAAGTTTTTAAATCTAAATATTGTACTGAAGTATTTCTATTTACTAAATTTTGTGTTGCAATAATAAAAATTATACTACCTTATACAGAGTGTCTAAAATTTTATTTTAAATAATAACGAGCTATAAACGGCAATAACTTCTTTAATTTAAATGGTACACCCTGTATATTTTATGAGAATCAGATGCACAATTTAATTGTCTATCAATTGTATTATATGATTCTTTACCTATGTCTTCAGGTTTTCGTAGAAATGCATTTTCTTATAATTTAGACCTCAATTATTATCAATATACCAATTGTCATTGACATTTTTGATTATTTTTAAATATGTAACATATTTTTAAAGAGTACAGATACTAATATTGTCGATATAGTTCGTTTATGTCATTAAAAAATTTAAAAAAAAATTGTTTAAACATTTGTATATGTATATGTAAGGGGACCAATTAATAAGATTCCAGTATTCAAACTACATTAATTGACTGTTAGCGTTGATTAATAATAATTGGTCCAAATACTAAAAAACTTAATTTTGTATGTGTATTAAACACTAAAACTGTAAAACACCGTAAGAAAGTAACACCTTAAAAATTTTATTTCATTTTTTGACGGATGCTTATTTATTAAAACAGAGACGTTGATTTTCATAACTTATTATTATATTGATTTCTGATTCCAAATCCACATTTATTTAGAATAATTTATTAACTAACACAATTAAATATGTAATTAATTAATATTTGGGCGGAAATAATGGTGGTATATTTAATTAATGGTATACTCTTTTATAAAGATTTAAATAGTTTTATTTTGTATACAAATTGACTGGTAATATTATCGTTTTTAGCACCTGTACATTTGTTGCTTTAAAAATAATCTAAAATGTCAATATTCCATTGGTATTTTGATAAATGAGGTCTAAATTATAAGAAAATGCATTTTCTACGAAAACTTGAAGGGATAGGTAAAAATGGTACAATACAATTTGATAAACAATTAAATTCTGCATCTGATTCTCCTAAAATATACAGGGTGTTCCATTTAAATTAAACAAGTTATTGCCGTATAAAGCTAGAAATTATTTAAAATAAATTTTTAGACACTCTGTATGGGGTAG